ATATATATATATATATATATATCTATTAAAATAGAGTCTTGTTAACTGCACCATCAGATTAACACCAGCCATGCCTTGCAGGCTCCTACAGGTGCTTTAATATACAAATACTGGTTTCAGCATAGTAGCACTATAGTCACTGAGGCCCCCTCTTCACTTTATGGAATTAGTAGTGAGGTCTATGATTGGGCTGACCGTGGTTTGATTTGCTGAGTAGAAGCTTGCATTTTATATAATAAATGGGCATCTGTAGTACTTGTCCAGCAGGCTGACTCTCTGTGCAGACACTTAAGGTGCCTGCTATACAAACCAGGCGTTACTCTGAGGATGTAATTAGCGCAACAGATTTATAAAAGACTGATAAAGGAGTGTCAAATCACACTTAAAATGTAATTTTTTTCTGGTACCTTTTTTTTTTTTTTAAACTTGTGGTTAATGTTCTATATACAATATTGGATTTATCCTCATTGGTTGAACTTCTAACAAGTACTTAATCTACCCCATTAAATAGTTCTGCCAAGCACTAATAACATCTGAACTGAGCATATAGTAAAACCTCAATGCAATTTTAGGAAACCACCGACCTTACCTTGAAGAACATACGGTTTATGAGGTTCCCATGCTGTAGTAGTCACACATGCAGAAAAACAAATTGTCCTTTGTGTGGTTTTTCTTCACATACCTAAGCAGTTTAAAATCTGGAACAAAATCTGAAATCCCATGATGCAGGAAAATTTAGAGCAGTACTTTCAGGGGAGGGTATGGGCATGAACACAAAATACATGGTGTCTGTTCCTGAACTGCACATTAGCTGCTCGTCCATTTATGAGAAAGAGGAAAACTTGTAACTGATTTTGTATTAGTTTAGTAGAAGGTAGTTGTTTTTTTGTTTTTTTTTATTGAAGAAATACTCAACACATTTGGCAGTTTAGCAAAAAAGAATATTACATTTTTTTTCATGACACAGAATTGTGATCCAATTCATATATGAAAGTGGTGCAAGAGTCTGTGTGTGGTATCTATTTATCACTTTAACACCTTGACGGTAGATTATTTTGAACATACGCAGTACAGGCAAACTGACATTTCTTTCCTCGCCCTAAGTATGGTCACCATAAAGTACACACAAAAGCTTCTCAGTTTATAGTGCTTTGCTTTATTAGGTCAGAACTGTCTTCTAAAAATGTATTCTTCAACAAATATTTAATGTTCCCTTTAAACCATCTTCTATTTAATAGGTGACAGAGTTGATTCGAGAACAGTCACACCTAAAGTCAGAGTTGGGTCTTGAAGACAGTAGATTGGAACATGGAGCTGACCGGTGTGATTCTGTCTCATCTCAAGCAGCCTCTGACTCATCTTCCGTTTGCTCCAGTCCGCTATATAGAAACAGGAAAGGTCCACTAAACACTTCTGACATTGTTGATAAGCCAAAAGCTCAAACCTCTCCGAGCAAATCTGTATACCGTGCTTCTGTTGCTCTAACACCGAGCCCTCCAGTAAGAGCCAATCAGAATACTACAACAGAATCTCGAGAAGAACCTGGAACCTTTAAGTTGGATTCAGCAGAGAAGTCAGAGTTGGAAACTGTGACACCTGTATCTGAGGGGGGAACACGCTGGAATCCTGAAGAAAGCAGAGAATTGCAACAAGTAATTAAAGAGGTATGATTCTTTAAACTGCAACTGACTAGATTATTAATAAATCGTAACTTATATTCACTGAGGTCCATATTGTTATAAATCTTCAACTTTTTTTAGACTTTTTTTAGATCTAGAAGTTTTTCCAAAGCCCCCCATGTGATCGCATATTGGTGGTGACAGGTCTTCTTTAAGGTGACACTGGGGGTCCAAAAGACCCCTAGTGTCACCTTTTCACTTTAAATAAGCTTATTGAAGTGCAGATTGCTACTACTGAAGCCTAGCAATGACAGCCCAGGGACCGGACATGATGTAATACGCATTGCTCACAGTCCCATAGAGCAGGAAGGAGATCAGTGAACGAAAATTCGCCAGTCTCCTCCCCAGTGTCCTGCTGACACCTGAGATGCAGCGGGCCTGCAAAACACAGCGGCAGAGGGTGCACGGTCACTTTACTGGCTCGTAGAAGCAATGTAGCCCCAATCGCTTCTATTGTGAACCCGACAGCCAGCTAAAGCTGCCAGGAGTCTGTTTAAACGGGCCCGCTGCCTATGTACATCACTGGTTGCGATTTTTTGGAAATGTATTTGACGCGATGCTAATATGGAAATTCCTGAACATCATCAAAAGTACTCATATCAGTCCCTGTCGCCTGAAAGAGCTTGCAATCTAGTGGGAGGAAACTTATAAACCTGCCCATATATCTTTGAATTATGGCAGGAAACCCACTAAGACGTAGAACGAGCTGGTGCACAAGTTTGATTTTCCTGTTTTTTTTTTTCTTTTAGCATTGTTGATAGTAATATTATTCTGGTGTGTTTATAGATAAGAATACTCCTATTTACAAACTTGTTAGCAGCAAGTGGGAGTTTAATTTGCATTCCCCATAATGTCACAATTTATAGTATAGTTGACACTTTGTTCCCCTTTTATCTGATATACAATTTCAGTTGACTATAAGATAATGGAATACATTTTGTTCTTGTATTACAACATGATTCCTATTGTTTTGCCTGCTAACTGAAACAAAGTCTAATTCATGCGGCAGTTCATAGGGGCTGAGTTTGGGTGGCATGCATTGTAACGTGTATGACCATGCGCTGCCTACTCTCAGTAGTACAGTCTGCAAAGTGGCGCACAGGATAAGCAGACACATGCTTATTGCTATAAGATGTCCTATTCTTCTGTTCAATGGTTTACAATCCACTTGTGACTCACTAGTAGCATATTCTTAGAAGTTAGAAGTTATTTTCTAAAAGCAAATATTTGCTTTGTTATTCACACCAATGGCTCCATTTGCCTAAAAACATCACTAAAAGGACTATCTTTGTAATTTTGCTAGAGTTTCTATCCTTTTTTTCTTTAGCTATTTTCTCCCGATTTCATAAAGCAGAGGGTCCTATATAGTGTGAAGTAAAGCCAAGGAATTTTAACCTTTTTAGTTATTTACTGGAAAAAACATAGCATAAACAGTTTCCTTACAAGTGCAAATGTTTTCCTTTTGACATGCTTTTTCCTGAGCAATCCTTTTTTCTAAAAAAGAGAATCCTGAAGTAGCTTTTGGAATAATATAATTGTATCTTGTCAGCTGAAAAGGATAAAGAACTACTTCCTTCTATGTACAACTGGGCACATGTCAACCTTCTGCTGGTTCTTACTGCTGTCAGAGGTTCTCTTCTTCAGTGCCCAGTAGTGAGAAACTTAAGTGGGCTGAACGAAAAAAAATAGAACAGATTATTATATTAATATACAGGATTTATATAGCGTCAACAGTATAATATAAGGAAGACATTACAATCACAATACAATTCAAGACAAGATGGTAAGGAGGGCCCTGCCCCTGAGTGCTTGGATACCTCCATCATGCTTACGAGCAATAATAGATAAATGTTGTCTGCTTTGTATTCTGGCAGCGGCCTCCAGCCGCTGTCCGAATACACTAATGGTGCTTGCAGCTGATTTGGCTGCAAGCTCTATTTGATGATTTTCCAACTGGCTACTTTGATGTTCTGATTGAGGAATGCCGGCCAACAGCGGCACCCACTGTGCACGTTTTGGCTGGTTCACAAAGAACCAGCCAAAGTTTGCATAGTGTATGGCCAGTTTAAGTTTTAGCTTTTTAGCTAATGTCACCGGAAAGTAAATTCTGTGTATCCAAAAATGCTCTGTTAAGCTGGCACACACTGGTAGACCTTGTACAAATAAATTGCATCGTAACATTTGATAATGCCATTAGAGACTCGTGCAATGTTGTTCGAAATTCCATTGAGTTTAACATTAGATTTTGGAAATGAATGGAGTTTCTTAAACGAAGAGCACATTCACCGTTAGATTTTCATTCATCCTGCTCCTTCAATTTTTTTTTCCATCACTACGGTCAAAATCGATCATCAGTTTGACTCCGTTGACTATGAAAAAAATCGAACATTCTGGAAAAAAAATAATAATTCTAGCAAAATTCTACTGGTGTGTAACCAGCTTTACTCTATAGTGGATTATTTCTAGCAGTATATGAAGTAGTAATGGTCAATCAACACCATGTACATTGTTGCTGGAAGATCCCAAGAATCGATATGAACAACTGTTTGACATGTATTTAAAACCTGAAAAGCATACATGATTTGCACATGTCGTATTTACGCAGCCCTGGCCGCTGTGTTTGTTTTCTTACATAGTTCCCTTTGTCTCAGGACTTTCAGTTAGTAGTGTGCAGGTCTCCACATACAAACTGTTTTAATGGAAAGCACTTCTTGGAGACAGTGGTGTATCCTCCCATAAACTGTTTATACTTCACTGTTTGTTATTCCGATGTGTCTTTAGGCGAGCTTTTAAGCCTTGATTTATAAATGACAACCTCTAGCAGTGCGTGTTCTACAAACATGGATTTAAAGAGTGCATGTATTACATCTGCTCTGGATAAACATTCCTGTTTGAGGTTTTATTGTATGTAAACTCAGGCGTTTTCTTAAAAAATGCATCAAGATTACGCAATTTGAGTTTGGCATAATCTTGTATTCAATAATATTTTACCATTATGGTAGCTGTATCTACAAAATAATATTTCTCTCCCGTTCATTGAAGGACACAGGGAACAGATCGGAGATCATGTACTGTAGGGTAATATCGCCACCTGCAGGAGAAGGACGCTAGGCACAAAAAAACTAAAGACCAATCACAGCCTAGGGGCGGCCCCTGCCGGTGGCCAAACCCCCCACCTGCTGACAAGTCTCCAGTTTTTTGCCTAGCGTCAGGAGTAAGGAGCTAAGAATTTTTTTCTCGGTATTCTTACCTGCTTCTTCCTGATTTTTTTCAGAGGATTCTTCTAGCAAGTGTTGTCCGGGCGACAGGCTGGATGTCTCGGATCCTTGGAGTCTCCCCTGGATGACCAGCGAGCGTATGCAGGCCCGCTACGGTGGGTCGGCTACGACGGCCCCGCTCCGGCGGGGTGGCCTGTGGGTTCGTCCCAGGGGGGTGCATAT